GGAGGTCCATTCAAAAGCTTTACCTTGCCATAATGTCTGAAAGAATTGTTGGCAGCGGTCCGTGGAACGACTAATGAACATGTTGAGTGTGGCTGTCATCCCCATCAACTTCTGAACCTCCTTGACCAATCGAGGGGAGCCGAGTTCTAGGATTGCGGTGATTTGCCTCGGATTGGCTTCGATTCCTCGGTGGTTGACAATGTAACCCAAGAATTTGCCAGAGCCGATCCCAAAGGCACATTTGGAAGCGTTCAGCTTCATTCTGTATTTGTGTAGAATTCCGAATGTCTCTTCCAAATAAGCTAGATGAGTTTGTTCTTCTTTGGACTTGACCACCATATCGTCAATGTAAACTTCCATAGTGTGGTCGAGTTGCTCCTTGAACATGACAATGACTAGCCTTTGGTAAGTTGCCCCTGCATTCTTCAGCCCAAAAGTCATAACCTTATAGCAATAGGTTCCTCTTGGGGTGAGGAATGCAGTTTTGTCTTGGTCCTCCAGATGCATGGCAATTTGATGGTAGCCTCTGTAGGAATCAAGGAAGCTCATACGCTGGTGACGTGCCGTAGCATCTACAAGTTGGTCAATTCTGGGTAGGGGAAAACAATCTTTGGGGCAACCTTTGTTTAGGTCGGTGAAATCAACGCAGACATGCCATGTCCCATTCTTTTTCTTCACAACCACAATATTCGAGAGCCATGTGGGGTAGGTCACTTCCATGATAGCTCCGGCGTCAAGTAACCGGTCAACCTCTTCAACAATGGCGACAGTGTGCTCTATAGCTGACCGTCGGCTTTTCTGAATAATCGGCTTGCATTTAGGGTCAACATTTAAACGGTGCTACGAAACAGACGGATCTACACCCGGCATCTCATATGGAGTCCACGCAAATACATCAAGGTTGCCGAGCAAGAAGGAAATTAGCTGCTGCCTGTCGGCTTGATTTAGGAAGGCGCCGACCATGAAGAATCTGTCTGGGTTACCATCAATCTCAACTCAATCTAGGGCTTCCGTGGCCTTCTCACTTGGGAGCCGCCCAACATCGTCGAGACTCTCTCGATCCGGTACCTTAATAGAATTCACTTGCAACTCTTTTGGTGTCTTTTCAGCAAGGAGATAACATGTTTGTGCCGATTTCTAGGAGCCACAGATTTGCTCAATGCCGCATTCTGTCGGGAAGCGTAACAGCTAATGATAGGTGCTTGGCATGGCTTGCATAGTATGCAACCAAGTTCGCCCCATGATGAGATTATACGGCGATGGCAGCTTGACGACCAAGAATTCCATATCTACTGTTCGGGAGCCCGCTCGAACGGGTAGTTTGATCTTCCCCAACGGGTATTTTGGATTCGTGTTGAAGCCGATTAATGGGTAAGGAGCTGGAGAAAGATCCGATTCAGAGAAGCCAAGTTTGGTGAATGTCTTGTAATACATAACTTCCGATGTGCTCCCCGGATCAATGAGTACGCGCTCAACGGTGAATCGATTTACACGTAACTTGATTACCAAGGGATCGATGTGGGGAAATGTCACTTTGGCTAAATCTGAATCATCGAAAGCTATGCTTGCAGCTTCATGGGGCCGTTTAGCTGGAGTGAGTTGATTTTGAGGGTTGGGACTCGACTGAATCGTATGCACCGCGGATGACATTGGCAGGCTGTAAATCATGTGGATCACGCCGAGTGGAGGTGAATCCTGTCGTAAGGCTATTATTTTAGATGAGTTGCCTTTTCGGACGTACTGTTGTAGCCGACCATCTTGTACCAATTCCTCCAGGTGATCCTTCAATGCATAACAACTCTCAGTATCATGGCCGTGATCCTTGTGATACTCGCACCGCCTATCCTGTCTTTTCGTTTCAGGAGGTCCCACTATTTTGGACGGCCATTTGAAGAACGGAAGGTGTTGGACTTTGGACATAACCCCACTGATCGACTCTGATAACTCTGTGTATTTTTTGTCTGCGCGCCTTGTGCGCCTGCCATCGACTTGCAATTATTCATTTGCTCGGTGGGGGCATTGGTCGCTTGATCGACGAGAATCCCGTCTCCTGTCTCGTTTAGCCCAATGTCGTGGTTCAGGGCTCTGAGGTGGTACAGAATTTAACGGCTAAGCGATTTCAGAAGGGGCCGTCTTGTTGGCCACGTTTCCGGCTTTAACCTGCAAGGAGTCATCTTCCACTTTGCAGTATTCCTCAACTTTCTTCATCAACGCCCAAACTATTTTGGGAGGTCTTCTAGTCAAGGAGCTGCGGAGAGCACTGTCAGGATACAAACCCATTTTAAAGGCGGTGATAGCCATGGAGTCGTTGCAAACATCATCAACAAGATTAAAGCACTCCCAATAGCGCCGAATACGCTCTTAGTGTTTCTCCTGGCTAGATCTGCATTGCCTAGAGAGAGTCGGCTTGTTTTGGCCGGACCTCGTTGGTGATGAATCTTGCCCTGAAGGATTTTGTAATTGATGGAAACTCTTAATCGACGGCGGCTCCAACTTATAATACCATCTGAATGCTAACGGTCCCAAACTACTTGGAAATATTCTGCACATGAGAGCTTCGTCGTCCGCATGCAATGTCATGGCTTGCTTATAGTAACGGATATGTTCTGTGGGATCCGATTTCCCGTCGTACAAGGTGAACGACGGGGCTTTGAACTTCTTAGGTAGTACTACCTTTGCGATCCATCGCACAAAGGGATCATGCTGGTCCTCTTCGTCTGAACCATTTCATCTTCGCTTATGCCTTGTACGTGGACTCTCTTCAGAAGAACTGGTAGTTTCGGGTCGTCCCTTCTTCTTGGGTTCCGGGGATAATGAGTCGGAGTCGCTGTCAGTGTCTTGTTGTCGGGCTCAAGGTCGTCGACCACTTGCCCTCAGAGGTCGTTCTGGATCTTGGCGTACAGCTTGTTTGGACTTCGCCACTTCCAAGGCCAAATCCTGACAGAGACGTTCGTTCTCAGCGATCATGTTCTCCAACCTTTGTTCGTTTTGCTTTGCTTGTTCTATGATCACTTGCATTGTCTCATGCGCTAAAGTCGAGGGCGAGTCGAAGTTCAAGGCGCGTCTTGCAGCGATAGTCTCTGGTCCCAGCATGTTTGTTGGGGTGAGATCATCTCTCGATGTAGTTTCATCAGTGATTATTAGAGGATCTTCCGTTGCGCCCGCCATGGATGTGGTTGAGTATTCCCACAGACGATGCCAATTGTAGGAAAAGTGGTTTTGAAATACTCTTTCGATCCATTGGGGCGCTCGAGATCCTCAGATAACAACCTGAAAATGAATAAACACTCTGATCGGGGGTGCTGAAATTAGCACTTTAACGGACAAGTCAGTCTCTACTCTCTGGATTACTTGTATTTTAAGTTAAGCGTAGTGATTCTCACGTACCTCTTTCTGGCTGATGTTCTTCTATTTATATCTCTTCTTTCTTGGGCCTTGGGGCTGGGCCCACTTTTGATTCGCCATGCAACTATTTACTCGACTCCTTTTGCCGCAAACCGCTTTCCACTCGGTCCCTTACTCAACCAGCTATTTGGCCAAAAAGGGCATGATTCAAATGTGTAAGACGGGGCCGAATGCGATGTAAATATTTAACTCTCCAGGTCCCATTATTCAGCCTATTTACGTCTCCTAATATACGGCCCCCACAACGTTTTTTAAAAATACCGTGTAAAAAATAAAGAGGTGATGTGACTTAAAATAGGTTAAAAATCAAAATTTAGCTTTAACCATGTTCCCAAATTGGCCCTAAATGGATCTAAGCTAATATAAATAGTATGGAAATTTAAATAAGTAAAATATATATGTTCGGTTAAACAAATGATAACATCATTTTTCTATCTATATAACGATCAAATTATTGATGAAAATGAGATATGTGAATTAAAATCTTAAATAAGTTTAATGTAATTATGTTAAAATTATATGATTTATTATATTTTCTCTAAGATCATCTCCAATGGCAAATGTTATAATAGCATTGTCATTGTCAAATTATGGCAATAAATAGTAAAAAATGGTAGAATTAGCAAAAGTAACTTATAGTGACGAAAAGTAGCAAAGAAAAATAAATTTTTTCACTAAACAAGAATAATCCGTGACGAATTATAAAATTTTGTCACATATAATAAAAATATAAAAATAATAGGTGACGAAATTTATTTTCGTCAACAAATACTTCTTTTTAGGCGGGGAAATATTAAATTTCGTTACTGAAGGTTTCCCGTTAATTTTTTTTGATGGCATCCAAATTTTGAAACTTTTGGTGAGAAAAAAATTTGTCGCCAATAATAAAATTATTAGTGTAGAATATATTTTCGTCACCAATAATTATATATATATATATATATTTTTGAGAAACTTGATTTTAAATATTTTAAGACCATTTGGTAAGAAATATATTTTTGTCAATAATTATTTTGAATATTTTTAGACTTTTTAATGATGAAATTATTTTGTCACTAATTTTGGAGGGAGAATTTTGACATATTGGGTGGTAATAACAAAAAAAATAGACTATTAACTTTTTCTCTCCTCCCCTCCCCAAATTTTTTTTTGTTTTTCAATTTTCCTCTCCCCTCTTTCTCTCTCTCTCAAAACACAAGTTAATTAGCTCTCTAAGTAACTTATGGTGACAAAAAATAGTGAAGAAAATAAATTCCGTCACTAACACTACTAGAAAAAGGGGTATAAGACATGAAACCTTTTGCGACAGTTTAAAAATCATCACAAAAGCTTGCTTTTAGCGACGACAAATAAAGCTGTGGCAAGATTAATTTTTTCACGACGAAAAATGTAAGATTGTGGCAAAAAGTAAGATTATACGCGACGGTACGTTATCTGACGCAAAAAATATTTATGTCTTGCGATTTTTTTTCTGACACTCTTTGTTAGTCTGTTGCAAAATATTTTATTTTTGCTCGTTCATTCGCGACGGTTCTTAATATCGTCGCAAGTATTAATCCCTAAATTCGCGCACACCCCTCACCCCCCCACCCCTCCTCGTCCCTTCCTATTTCCCACTTTTCCCGAACTTTCGGTATTCTTTTTCTTTTGCGCCCAGTCGTCATTCTCTCTCGCAGTGGCAACAACACCAGCATAGGTAGCGTCCAGGTAACCCTCCTCTCCTCTCCTCTTCTTTCCTCTCGCTCTTGCTCTCGCTCTCGCTGTTAATACATCAAAAGCCACATAGAAGAGAGACAGAGAGTGAGAGACTGACTGACGGCGGCCGGAAGTTCCACCTCTGCCCAGTGCCACCTCTGCACAAGAGGGCATTAAATCGGTATTGGGACATCAATCAGCGCCAGTGACACCTCCTTCTCTTTCTCTTGCCCATCCATGGCCTCATTGCCACCGCTGCCTCGCCCATGTTCTCCCCACAGGTACATCTCTGTTCGAGGAGCCCTATCCATGGCTGATTTGCATCTGATTATAACTTGTTTTTGAGGTAGGTTTCTCGATTTTTGATCTATTTTACCAATTGAACTCTGATCAATCTTGTTTATATCGTTTGTTTTTGTTAAATTTCGATTGGGTTTTAGTTATAATCTTGATTTCATCAACTGGGTTTAATTATAATCTTGATTTCAGATGGGTTTGTCTATAAATCCAGTGATGATTTGGGGTTTCTTGGCTCTTCAAACTAGCGATTGTTTAAGGGTTTTTGATTTGAAGGTGTGATGAATGTGAAGCTACGTTTTGCCTTCAATTTGATTGTTAATAGCTTGGAACATACAATTGCTGAAATTTTGAAGTTAACTAATTTTGTTTAATTGTTGAGAAAAACTATGGAATTTGTCTGTAGCTTTTTTTTTTTTTTTTCTTAAAAAAAATTGAAACTTGCAAAAAAGTTACAGTATGAGTTTCTTAAGTATGGGGTTTAGGAGGTGGGAATGATGAAAATTACATCCAAATGTTTTGGTATGTGATAATGTTATGATCTAAACAGATTGAATTTTGGTTGCTATAAATTTCAAAGGGTTTCCATGATATGTTTTAAGTGAAAATGACAGGTGAATGCATGAAAGAGGTCTGTGAAATGAGTCATGTCTTAGGGTTCTTTTTTTTTTTTTATTTGAGATTTTTCATATGCACAACAGCTTAGAATGCCATACTGGGAGAGGGAGCTATTTCTAGGTTTAGAAAGACAAGCATTGAACTTTTGATTTTGTTGGAACTTAAGTGTCAGTGCAATTTATTCCAGTTGAAAACTAGTGATGAATTGATAGGGAGTACAATTACCTTTAGATAAAACTTCATATTTTTCAAGTAGGAAATTGCCAGTGAGAGTCACTAGTCAATGGTCCATCGTCAGTTCAAATAGCAACAACCGACTCATAGATCATGTGGCTTATTATGCAAGACAAATTACTATTCTTTTTTATGGTTAATTATTTATTAGAAAACAGGGCTTACTAAGCGTTTTCAAGTACTAACAAATGTTCTAATGATCGTCTAGCAAATTTATCAGTTGCTTTTTTGTCTATTTGTATAATCATGTTATTCAAATTGGTTCTAATAGAGTCTGCAGGAGTATGGTTTCACTTAGAATTTTAGGCCGCATGTTAACAAAGCTTTTTTCCATTTTACTGTGATATTATATTGGGTTATTCAGATGAGATCATTTCATAGAACTTTATGGATGTCATATTACCTCGTTAAATGTGGTGTGGGATAAATTTTTGTTATTCAAGTTAGCCAGCCACTCTTTGCATTTCTTGTCCTTGTATCATCTTAAGGATGACAATGGGAGGAGACGGGTTTGTAGTGCCCTACCCCCTCACAAATTAAGTCAAGGTGAGTTAAATAGGGAGGTAAGAGGGGCAATGGTGGGGTGAGGACAGGTTAATTTTGCAACTTTAAGAATGGCGGTACTATTTAAAAGTGAGAGATGACATGGTATGTTACGGGTAAGGATTATTTATAAAAAAAATAAATATATAAAAAAGAAAAAATGAAAGAGATGGGAATTCATAGATGTAAGATGAGATGAAGAAGTGAAAATGAGTGTTAAGTGTAATATTTTGGTGTTTTAGTCTTGCTTTATGTATATTATATACCTACAAAGGGATTTAACAAATCTAATACCTGCATTTTGCTTTTTAAATTCGATATACGTTTGAATCAAGGGTTGTAGATGTCCTTTGACTACTTGAATAAAATTATGTTTTCACACTTAGGCACATATACAATTTTCTAATTATGTTTAGCATGCAGTGAGGGAGAGTTTGCAAGCTTTCAAGAAAGAGTTCAATAAGACAGAAGACGATTTGAAGTCATTTCAGAGCGTTGGGCAGATAATCGGAGAAGTTATTAGGCCTCTCGACAATGAGCGATGTAATTACTCATTTCTTTTGTTCTTTATTTCCATTTTTTTTTTTTTTTTTTGGAGGTGTTGTTTTTTTTTTTTTGGAGGTGGTACTGGAAATTGTTTGTGAAATCATTTTAGCTTTATCTTTTTTAGTTTAGAACTCCGGAGTCTTGATGCATGTCATGCAAAAAAAAAAAAACACAAGCTCTAGTCTATTATGGGCTGCCTGTAAATGGAATAATTCATAATGTGCTCTTAGTTATTAAACTGGTCAATAAATTTGTTGTAATGAACTTAAACTTACTTTTTCTTAGTAAACTCTTCTATGATGGTTTTAACTTAAATGTGGTATTGATTGATTGCTTGTGGGTAATTTAGTGATTGTTAAAGCAAGCAGTGGACCCAGGTATGTAGTTGGCTGTTGCAGTAAAGTAGACAAGGAAAAACTTACTTCTGGAACAAGAGTGGTACTTTATATGACGACACTCACAATCATGCGTGCTCTTCCACATGAAGTAAGTTATTGTGATTCATCTTTTCTAGTGCAATGCCACTTGGAAATTTCCTTAATTGATGGCAATATCGATTATTTAATTGTTTATGTTCTTGCTTGATTATGTTATTGTCATCCTTGATTCTGATTTTTCGTACTGTTTGACAGGTCGACCCGGTTGTTTATAATATGCTTCATGAAGATCCTAGTAATGTCAGCTATTCCGTTGTGGGTGGTTTATCTGATCAAATCCGAGACCTCAAGGAATCCATTGAGTTACCTCTTATGAATCATGAGCTCTTCATTAGAGTTGGAATCAAACCTCCCAAGGTGATGCATTCTTCATTTTCTCCCCTTTTTTAAATTATTATGCGTTGCATTGTATTACTTTAAGCCCTTGCATTACAGGGGAGTGATATCTAATTCTTGTGAAGATGTAGGTGAATTTTGGTAGGGACATGTCTAAAACTTTAATTGTTTCAAGGAGTTCTTCTTTATGGGCCTCCGGGTACTGGCAAGACATTATTAACTAGAGCAATTGCCAGTAATAGATGCCAATTTTTTGAAAGTGAGACTTTATGTTATGTTTTGATTTCAAATTTTCCCTTAATTTTGATTAGTTTCCCCAGGATAGATAAATATATTGGCATCTCACTTAGTTATAGGTTGTTTCAAGTACCATAATTGATAAATATATTGGCGAAAGTGCAAGATTATATTGGAAAAATGAGTTTATGGTGAATTGGTAATTAGGACCATTTACTGCTTATAATAGAGAATTATAAATTATAATTATCACTGCATTTGATAAGAGAGGAAACACTCTTTTTGGTAGTGGGATATATATATTTAATGAAAATTGGAATATCACACCCTTAAATTAGCATATCTTGCTTTAACTTCTCTGGACTTCGTATATGGTTGAGTAAAGAGAAAATCAAACAGAGTACGAACTGCAGTAACATGCCATAAGTACTACATTTTAGTCTCGGGGCATTCATTGGAATTGTCGCATATGGCTATTAATTCTATTGGCATCGTTCATTTCTTATATGCATAGCTCCTTAATTACATTATCAATTCTATTGGCCTAACATCTGCACTCAATAATTTCTACACTCAAATAATGATTATTGAGGAAGTCAATCATTCAGCACCAAAGACTCCCCTTTTTTTGTAATGTCAGAGAGTTTCAAACATAGTAGATGCTACACAGAAAGCATTGCTTAGGGCGTTGAAGCTTTTTTTCCTTGGTGTTCTTCTTCAAGGTAATATTGTGCACAACTTTCAACTTACGTCCTATAATACATAAATGTATCTAATTGGGCCATGCAAAACACTTCGGGTAACTATATATAGACTTCCGACAATCTGTGATGAATGGCAAGTTTATTGTGGAAGACTTTTCCATTCTGTATGTTAAGTAAGTCAATCACTCAAATTCCACTTTAACTCCAGGAGAAGAATTCTTGTAGTTAACATTCCTATATCCTTTGTGGCCATCAGCAACTGTTTTCTATTTCTAGTGGTCAATATTGCAATTGACATTATGTTTTATTTAGAACATTCATTTACCATGAATGATGGAAGTATAATTGCTGGAAATTTCACTTTTGAAACTAAATAAAGGACAAGATATGAGAGTGTGCGGCCAATTTCCCTTGTTGGTTTAACACATTTTCTTGATCCGTGAACTTGCTGTTGCCTTACAGTTTGAACTATATTATGCTGCTATCATCTCATATCATTTCTGTTACATAAATTTGACCATACGATTTCCAGGTATAGTTGTAGAATTAAGAACTCGTGTTCTTTCCTTTCAGGTGGTTATCTGCATGGAACATCTTTGACATATGGTGTTGACATTGAAGGAATACATTGGATGGGCATTTTGCAGGTCTTTTTCATGTTTTCAGCTTTTTCTTTTATTGTTTGTCTTCACAATTCTTTCTACACATGCACTATTTTTTTTTAGTGCCAAGGATAACTCTTGTCAGCAAAGTAAAATCTCTAACTCCACCTCTATTTTTTTATGTGCATTCGACAAATGACTACCCAGTTGTACATAGATTCATGGAGATCACTTCAATCTCTTTGAAAACAAAGGGATTATTTAGAGTTGATCAATGCATGTTAATATGCATGGGTTTCACCAAAAATGGATCTTTTAGCATGTTAAACATTCAAAATTCACCTTCAAATTCAATATAAGATCCCTTAATCATAGGCTATTAACTTTACCGGTTCAATTTTTGACATAGAACGCTGTCATATTTCTAAATTGCCTAGAATTTCACTGAACTTTGGCAATATTGTCAAAGCAGTGATAACCACCCAAGTCATAAACATAATAAACCTATTTAGCAGTGTGTGAATGTGTGGTACAAATAATAGTTGAGGGAAGTGTTTCTCTATTGCAACCCTGCTTTCTTTTATTAGGAATAATGAACTTCTGCATCTTTTCATCCAATCCAGAGGATATCCATTGGATACATTGTCGCAACTTTGTGTGAGATATGGCTTCCATGTCAAAGGTGGAGGGGAGTAGACTTTTTCAGGAGATATTATTGGCAATGGTTAGTTACCATATCTGGCATCATTTTATGTTCTGTAATGTTTAAGGCTTGTGCATAATATTTGAAATTTGGATTTATTTACTTGAAGAAACTTTAATTTCACTGCTTTTGTTTTCTTTTATGGGTTGAAATATTGGGTTTTGGTCGATATTTAACTGTCCTTAATATATTTTACTAAACATTTAGATTCATCTTTCAAAACTTTTATGAGACATGAAAGAGTAGTTAACACATTTGATAATGGTGACAACGAATACTTGATGTTATCCTCATTCACTTCAGATATGCTAAATTTTCAAGCATTTATTCTATTGAATCAGGTTGAGCATCATGATGAAAACATAAAAATATTATTACCCTTCCAAACATCGGGATCAATAAAAAAAAAAAAGAAAAAGAGCTAATTTCCTAATTTTTTTCTTCCAAAATCAATTAGAAACTTGCATAAATGGCCTGTATTTAAATTAATAAATTGTTTTTGAATCATTTACCTAGTCATCTTAACATGACTCTTGTTAAAATACACACTAATCAAAGGAGAGACAAAACTATGTGTTCACTTTTTTGTGTCTTTTTGCTACGCAGTGTTGGAGTTGCTCTAAGTTAGTGATGTGATCAATAGGAGCTTGCCATGTACAAAGAAACTTTTGGTTGTTAAGCTAGACTCATTATATACAAAATTTGTATTGACATGGACAAAGAGGTCTATACAATGTAATTGATAATATGTTAATGTTTTTCTTGTGTATTTTCTTTGCAGATTGTTTTTTGATGACGTTTGGAAGCATGCTTGCAAATCAAGATCAAGTGTTGAATTTTTTTTCTTTTCCTAAACTGATACTTAAGCCTCATTTGGGAACAGGCTAATTTAGTAACTTTTTGGCTATTTGGCTAAAATATGCTCATTTGGGAACAGGCTAATTTAGTAACTTTTTGGCTATTTGGCTAAAATATGAGCTTAAAAAAACTAGTATGTTTGGGATGACTTTTTTGCTTTTTACGAAAAGATGTGCAAAAAGTAGAGAGAAAAGAGAATCTTTGACTCTTTGGTATGGATTATTGACTTTTTGGCTAATTTAGTAATTTTTTGGCTTTTTGACTAAAAAGTTCGGTTGCCAAACGAGGCCTTAGTTGTAGTTGCAAATCAAGATTAAGTGTTGATTTTTTTTGTGGACTCCACGTTAGTTTATTTTGGGATTTGCTTTGATAGGTTTTTTGTTATACTTAATGGATTATTATTAAAGTTGTTTGATGGATATATTTTGATTTATAATATAAATTGTTTAGTGAATTTTTTTGTGAAGTGGTGTATAATAGTTAGTGGATTTCTTAGTACAATTAAAAGGCTATTGGGATATGAGTAGGGATATTTGTGAAATAATCATTTAAATTGAAATATAAAATATGGAACAAGTTTTGTGACGAATTTCTTTTGTCATTTGTATTTGTTATTATGACAAAGTAATTATTCGTCGTTAATAAATATTTTTTGTGACAATTTATTGCAACTTAAATATGAAAATTTTTATTGATTTTGATGTTTGGTGACCAAAAATTTCGTCACGTATATATATATTTGCGACGAAATATATTTCGTCACCCATGTATGACTTTTGGAGACCAAAAATTTCGTCAATTTTACATATTACTGTGATGAAATTATTTCCTCATCAATGATCAATATGTGTGACAAATTTATTCGTCAACTAAAATTATAAATATGGTATTGAATAATTATTTGGTGACGAAAATGAGAATTTTTGGCGACAAAATGTTTTAAGAGAGAGAGAGAGAGAGAAAGAGGGTTTATGAGTTGCATAGAAGGGGAAGACAGAGAGATAAAAGAATCCATACCTTGAAGAAGAGGTCGATGGAGGGAGTTGCAGACAACGTTGAAGGAGAAGATCGATTTCGCACTGAAGGAGCAGATCGTTTTCACGAAAGAGACATGTTTGGAGATCGATTTCGCGCTGAAGAAGCATATCGATTTCGCGGGAGAGACGTGAGCAGATCAATTTCGCGGGAGAGAAGTGTTTGGAGAGCCTTCAATCACTCTCCAATTGAAGCCAGCGGAGAAGCCGCGAGGGAAAATAGGGAGCCATTTAGCCAGCCCATTGGAGTGAGAATATTAGGGTCATCCGAGCTAAAATAGCTAACAGTCTCATTTTACCTCTTCCCTTGGAGTTGCTCTAAAATTATAAATATGGTATTGAATAATTATTTGGTGACGAAAATGAGAATTTTTGGCGACAAAATGTTTTATTGATGACAAAATTTCATCACTGAAGTAATTTCATTTTTCGTCACGGTTGTTTTTAGTGACAAACATTCAATGACGAAATCGGTGAGGAAAATATTTCCTCACAAATATCTATAGTGACGAAATTAGCTCTTTGGAGATAAAAAAATTCATCATTCAAGACCCAACTTGTTAATGGTGCACCAATAGAGGACTGTTATTTGTCATTTTGACACAGAAACTGGTGTGTGTGGGATGCCCAATCGAACGTTCCGCGCACACTAGTTTCCAGCTTTCATTATGCAAAAATGGAGGACAGGAGGGAGAGATGTTTTGCTGGGAAAGGGAGATTTTTCTTGTGAGTTGGCAGTTATGACAACTACCATAACTTGTCATTGAAGCAAGGTTTATGTGAACTGCTACCAAATTATGACAATAGCGGCTCAAATGGCTTACCATTGGAGATGCTTTAAGGGGGTGTTTAGTATGTGCTAAAATAACACATACTATTTTAGTACATTATTCTATTTGTATTACAATCATCTTATTTGAATCACATATATTATATCACTTCAAATCCAACTCATATTTCATATTTTTTTTATAAAAAATTAAAAAATATACTTATTTAAATAATTCTAATCAGCCATATTAGAAAAATCAATATAATTTACGGAAACATAATTTATAATTTGACACCCAATAATATGATAATATATTAGGTGCCAATTTTTAATTTGTATTAGACATTCATGGTGCAAGTATTTCAACTGTTTAAATAACATGTAAATGGAATATGTATTTTCGGATTTAAAAATAAAAGCTTTTAAAAGGAAACTTTAGATATAAACATATGACAAAAAGGACAAATTTCACTTTATCTCATATAATCTGAGCAATATATAATTAACTCCTTCAGTATTTAAAAATGACCCCATAATTTCACATGGTATCGCTATTGGATTTCTCAAACAAAATAGGTGGGTTGTTCTTTATTCCTTATCTTACAATTGTCCAATAAAGATGGGTTAATATGATTTACCCAATGAAATATTTTACAGCATCATTAGTTGGGAGCACATACGAACAATACAGAGTAAATACTGATGCTGCTAACGACAATGCTACGTAACTTAAATTTTGTGACTCAAAAATGGCTCAAATGGTCAAAACGACGTCGTTTTGAGTATAGAACAACATAAAAATGGCCAAAACGACGTCGTTTTGAGTATAGAACAACATAAAAATGGCCAAAACGACGTCGTTTTGGCCATTTGAGCCACTTTTGAACCACAAAATTTGAGTTACGAGACATTTTCCTGCTGCTAAAGACAGAGTAACTACTGGGGCTGTAAAAGAGAAAATGTTTAATAATCTTTTTTTTTTTTTCTACAATTTCATTCAAAACGTAACTTAAATTTTGTGACTCAAAAATGGCTCAAATTGTCAAAACGACGTCGTTTTGAGTATAGAACAACATAAAAATGGCCAAAACGACGTCGTTTTGGCCATTTGAGCCACTTTTGAGCCACAAAATTTGAGTTACGAGACATTTTCCTGCTGCTAAAGACAGAGTAACTACTGGGGCTGTAAAAGGGAAAATGTTTAATAATCATTTTTTTTTTCTACAATTTCATTCAAAATAATATGACATATATTTAATGGAAAATAATACAAAGTTCTAAATCTAGAATTTTAGTTTGAGCTCTAATGACGTGATAAAACAAAAAACAAAAAAAGCAGCGACATCACATCATGAGTGCAACCAGTTTCTTAAAACTCCTCTAAAGTTCTATATTTAGAACTCTTAATCTTTTTCATACTTAGCGGTCGTTTGAAATATTCTAAATAAATGTACTTTTTGACTTTTTTATGAAATAAATGTTGAGTTTGAAGTGATATGATAGAAGGTGATGTGATTTAAATAAGGTGATGTGACTTAAATAGAATAATAACTTTTTGACTTTTTTATTTTTTTAATATATGCCAAATAATACCTTAATTATTTAGCGCTTATCTCTTTTATCACATTATCTTGAGTAAAGAAAAATGTTTTAAAATTCTAATCACAGTTTTAATGAGCGACAATGCTAGGTAGCTCAAATTTTTGTGGCTCAAATGGCTCAAATCTGTCAAAACGACGTCGTTTTGACAGATTTTGAGTGTAAAACGACGTCGTTTTGACAGATTTGAGCCATTTGAGCCACAAAAATTTGAGCTACCAAACATTTTCCTTTAACGAGTTGACAAGGCTCTACCTAGTGATGGTGTGATACATGTATTTTGTTTTTTTTTTTTTTACATCCTGTCACATCAGTGACCATCATAACTTTGAATCATGATTGTATCATTGAACTTAAGTATTATTTTGGGAACATTAGCAAAAAGTCACAATTTTTTGACAAAATGTTTAAAAACGTAAGTGCCAAAAACGTTAGAAAATTAGTTTGGCAAGTGCTAAAAACACAGGTGTAAAATTATAAATTAGGACCTATGAAAAAAAAATAAAAATAATAAATTTCTTATGTTGGGTAAGGATATTTTGGTCATTTTAATTTGATTTGATACCATAAATAAATATTAAACTAAAAAGTAAAAAGTTAATTTTTTACCAACTTCTCAAATCACTTTCTAAAAAATTAAAAAGTTTGATAAAAAATCAAAAACTAACTTTTTAGCCTGTGTTTGGCAAGTGGGTTTGTAGGCTTTTTTGGCTATTTTAGCCACAAAAAACAAAATAGGCTATTTTAGCCATAACAAACAAAACATCACATCCAACCCATAATCATTACATTCTTCTCTCACAAAAAAACTCAAAAAAATCAAAAAAATCCTTCCCAAACCAAGCTTTTAAGCCCAGGCTAAAATAGTCAAAAAAGTCAAAAAACTAAAAAGCCAACCCACTTTCTAAACGGAGGCTTACTAACTTTTCAAAACACCCCTAAGAATCCAAATGGGAGGATGTAGCCTGCAAGCTGCTGGATCTGATAGAGCTGCAATGCAACAGCTGAAGTCACAGCTACTATTGAGTTGAAGGACCATGATAGAGGTGTAGGATAGTAGTATGTGATCAGTCCTCTTGTAAGGCCATCCATAATAATATGTTAAGATTGTGTGTTAAAGTGTGTTATATAATAAAATAAGTTAAAAGTAAGATCTAAAAATATGTGTTTAAGAGTTTATTAATTTAGTGAGTGAATAATGAATGAATAGTAATACAATGAATATATTAAGGGGTGTACTAAGATATGTGTTTTATATATATATATATATATGTGTGTGTGTGTGTGTGTATAATAAATAAAGTAAATAAATAATTTAGTTTAATCAAAAATGTCAAGCCAAAAATTAAATTTCAAGCCTAAAAAAAATCCCAACCAGTTAAAAAAAAGAAAAAATTGCCATTGACCGTTCAACTGGCCGGACCGATAAGACCAAAACAATTTTTTTTTTCTCTTTGCTTGAAGGGTCCGGACGTCCGGGGCGGACTTCTGGCCGGACGTTTGGGCGGACTTCCCACAGGTACACTCTTTGCTCTCTTCACTAGCTAAAACGCTCGCTACAGTTAACACACTTTCTAACATCTGACACTAACAACGTGTGCTAACACTACCCTTAGCAGCTTCACTACAGCACCAAACAACAAATTTTGCTAGCCAAAAATTAATAACTGACCCTAACAGTTCCATTGTGGATACTCTAACAAACTCAGTTAAGCTTGTAAGAGCATCCTTACATGATTATTTATATTTTATTCTAAAATATTATTAAAAATTCATTTTTTATTTTAGGAATTACTTTTTCATCTACTTCTCCTAACAGACTCTTTGTTCTTTCTCTGTTATATTAACAAACTCTCTATTTTTTCTCTATTCTATTAAAATATAATTTTTAATTATAAATTTAAAAAAAAATTAAAAATCATAAATGTGTACTATAATCCCTAAACAAAACAAAGCAAATATATATATATATATATATATAAGGGTGCCACAGCGACTCCCTACAAATAGGGAGGCACTATAACAATTCTTATATTAGGAAAGTGTTTAAGGGTGCTGCTAGAAGTCTATAGAGAGCCATCAATCTCTTAAAATAGATAAGGAGGGGGTTTAGGGATTCTGATGCTCTAACAAACTTTAATGCGTGAAGCTTTGTTTGGCATTTGATTTTTGGCTAAAAAAGTATAAAAAGAGAAATTAGCTGGATAAGTTAATAAGATAAAATATTACATTCAAACCATAAAAAATTTAGGTTAAAATAATTCTAACACAAAAAAATTAACTATAAAAAGTCTATACCAAACGAATATTTAGAAGTTGAGTTACAGTAAAAGAAGCGTAGATTGAGTTGAAGGACTATGATAGAATGTATATAAAGATGTAAAAGAAGCGTAGTTTGAGTTGTATTCTGAACTGATCAGTAATATAATGTTCTTTTCTCTCTCTCTACAATTTCTTCATTCAGTTATGACCATAGCTCTAGTACCTTTGTCAAGAGAAGTTCTTGGTTAATTTTCCCTTTTGTCAAATGTTATGATTCTCTGGTACTGCCACTGAGGTGTGTTTGGAATGCAAATAAAAAAGTTAGCTTTTAGCTTTTTTTATTAGGTCATATTATTTCTCATATTTTTTATTTACAAAAAGATAAAATAGATTAAAAAAATTAAAAAAACCAACACATCAATTTTTTACAAACTTCTCAAAACACCACCGGATAATTATATTTGTTCCCTCGCAGAGAAAAACAATATTCAAATACATAAAATTCAATACAACTCAATTTTTATTGGGATAAGACTAACATCAAAGGAAGTTTTCGATGAGATTATAGATAACGACAGTAAATGATTCACTGGCTTTATTTGATGATATTAATTATATCATAACATATTCTGAAGGGAAAAGATTTAAGAATAATGATTCAAGTCTTAGGAAAGTGATAACTTACCATAGAGTAGGCGGCCTGTACTGCTGTGAGAAGAATTAGTAAACCAGCTACAACAAGAGAAATAATTTTCCAAGGATCTTTGAGATATTCACGCTTCAATGTTGTGGTCCAAGTTCGCAATTTTTGTTTATAATGCTTATTCAGCTCTTCGGATATGTCAGACATATTTTTGTTGGTGTAAAAGGTCATTTCCTTGCGAAGATTGTTGATGAGAGTGGCCACATCCTCGTCGCTTCCCAAGTGGTGACTTATAATCCCTTTCACTACCAAGTGCTCCACATCTTTTGAAGAGTCTATTAATCCATCCATGAAACTGACGTATGAGGTGATATGTCTTCCACAATCTGGATAGCATTGCTCGAAAGCCATGAGATTCAGGAAGGTGGATCTGGTTGAGCCATGGATCAAAAGGGGTGGAATCAAGAGCGTACCTTTTTTGAACTCAATTTCTGTGAATATTGATGAATCCTTTTTTCTAAATTTAATACCCGTACCCCTAAGCCTTGTAACTGAGTGCACAGACACTGTCTTACGCCCCTCCTCCTGAACACTGCCGACCAAAATATGTGTCTCAGAACCCTGTTCGACGGTGTTTGGTTCTAGTGACAAGTGAACAATGTTGAGGAGGTGAAGAGGGTCATCAAAAGGGAATATTTTTAAGGAAATCCCAGGGATGACTGGGTTGAAAAACGTAAGAACAAGGCCAACAATTGTCTGCTTCGAGACGCTCGAGTCCCAAAAGACTCTATAAATTTTGAACAGTACCGAAAATGGTAACTGATTTTCAAGCATTAACAAGTCGCGTCGTATAAAAGGTAAGAAACCCCGCTGGCAAAGCACATACAATGGGTTCTTGTTGCCCCCGCATTCCTTCCAGTCATTGGCATAGTCGTGCAACAACTCAAGTATGAAGCAAGCATCCAACAACAGCATTTTTAGCAATCGTATGTTATTAAAACCTTCTAACATGGGCTTGTCAAAGCACGGCTTTGCATCATCAAGTAGCTTAACAATCATATTCCCCTCATTAAGGTCGCCAAGCGAATTCTTTCTCCGATTCAGGACAAGTTGAAGTAGGTGCTTCTTATGCTTTTCGATTTCCTTCAGTTCTTCGTGCTGCTTATGCTTATAACGATGATAAGGACCGATTGAAACAAGGCGGGGCGTATATGGATCAGTTTTTTCAAGGTCTCGGAGTCTACTGGGAACCTTAAAGATGTTGGGTAGCCCTGCATCGTACGCTTCCACTTCGTCGAGTTCCTCCTGTACATTTTTCTCCCACCCCTCTATTTCTTCTTTCACTGTGCTTTGTGGTTCGGATTTGTTGACATTTTCACTGTCATGCTTTCGTCTTCTTGGCAGCAGCCTTTCGTCACGTCCCGACGCCATCAATGCCATCTGCTGCTGAATCACAATTCACAAAGAGGAATCTTTCTTGGCCATGGAAGTGCCAAACCCCCTATAAAGAATAGAATACTATAACAAATTCATCATTATCATTCTAAAAATTATTATTCAGAAATTAATTTCCACATCTAACATAAATTTCACATAACCTCTCCATTATATAAATTAATTTTCACCACACAATTACTCCTTCATAATTTTTTGGATAAATAACGATGGATGGGTCTCTAGACTTTTCGTAAATAATAATTCCTAATTGAGAAATTCTACTATACACTCCTTTAAAAATAGTATATCATATACACTCCTAATTATATCATTTTCTTCTTTAGTTGTGATCAATTTTCTTCTTTATTTATAACATTATTTTAGATATAATTCACGATATATTTGATTATGCCTCATGCAGTAATTGGTTATAATCCTTTTCTTTTCTTTTTAATTATGACTCAAACAATATTAAATTATGTCAATTTTTTTTAGTTATAAGAAGCCTATGATACTCATCCTATAAAATGTGTGTGTATCATAATCTTTTCCTAATCCCCATAATACCCCATGCCATTGTTTATTTATACCTAATAAGTGACTTTCCATTCAACGATTAATTTAGAGGGAAAATTGCATCTTTTGAAAAAAATTCAAATCAATGAAAATTTTTATAAATATTAATAATTAAATTTATACTTTTTTTTTATTAATCTCATTAATCTACAATTTCCTTCAATTTAAAAACAACAAACTTTAATACTTAATGGAAAAGGTTTTCCTCGAACTTATCCCAAATAATATTTGAAATTCTAGTTATCTTAGGTAACTTATTTATGTTTTTTGTAGTTAAATATTTATCTAAAACTATAAAATTTAATATTGACAATTTTTAGATGACCTAATAGCTGATTTTTATTTATTTATTTTTCTACGATCAAATTGTTGCATAGTTGTATTGTACAATTAGAATTAGTTGAAAATTTACATACATTAGACAACATTTTGTGCTAGAATTTTATACAAAAATAAGTATGTTTGGTTTTATTTATGAAAAATAATTTTGAGTTTCTTTATTTATTTATTTATTGTCTTTAGTAACTTTTCGTATTTTAGTCGAATTTTTATAATTTTTAGATGTGATGCACAAATTAGGGAGACATTTCTTTACAAATCTGTGTAAGAATTTAAAGACACCAACAATTTATTTGTCAATTAAAGTCCCTGAGATTTTAAATCTTAAAGTGTTAAAGGCAAACCTTAACATATATGGTCCAAAATACCCTCATAATCTTAAAAACTCTCATCTTTTTGTTTTTTCTCTCTCCTATGACCTTTTACATTGTTTAAGTGATTTCAAAATTTTAGAATTTAATAACTTCTTATTTATATTTTCATTTTCCTTGCTTGTAAATTTTATATTTTTATAATTCTATTGACAATTTTTCAAACAAGATTCATGAGTCACGAATTTCGTCATCAAAATTTCATCAATCATTCGAAATTTTACTGATTTAGACTGATTTGGTCACCAAAAATTCACTAACCAACCGAAATTTTACTGGCTTATCTTAGGTCAGTGAAATTTCGTCCTTTTTTTTTTAGAATTTTGTATTCATTGTGGATCTTGTTTTACCGATTTTGATGTAACGATTTCAAAAATACAAATTTTATAGAAAAAATCGATATCTAGATCCACAGTTATAGAATTTTAAAATTTTTAAGTCAGTTAAAAAAAAAATAGTGTTACCTGAAATGGTGTAGTGGGGTATTTTTGTCACCGTATGTTTTGGAGGTGTACGGGAAAGAAATAAACCTTCTCGTATAATCCTGTTGACCAAGTCTACTCTCCTCCGTACGTCGTCGCTTTATCACCTGAAAACACAAACGTGAGCTAGCCAGCGGGTGTGTGCCGGAAACCTCTTCGATGCCTAAGTCAGTATGCTTGACAAATAGACAAAAGCTCTGTGTATTCAGAAAGCAAAGTTGTGTGTTACCTCCCCAAAGGTGATGTTTGTGAGCTTTTATAGGTTTCGAATGGCACAATCCTAGTAGGACTTCTACTCCTCCATGCAGAGCCCTCCTAGGATTCATATTCCTGAAAGATAATGCTTATCCTTCAACACCCCCCTCACTGCTTAAACCAAGTGAGATGGTTTTTACCATGGCCGAACCACAACATGACCGAAATAAAACTGGCTATACTGAGCCACAGAGTATGCCGAACTATCCTTAGTTCGGTTCTTCCTTTTACTCCTCCTTATCTCGGTTCTCTCATGTACAACCCATGGTATGTTTAGACCGAGCTTCCGAGTAGCAAGGTTATGACCATTCTAACCACAACATGTTATAACCGAACTAACTCTGAGTCCGGCATAACGACAAGTTGCTTTCGGACCGAAGTAACTTTACACTTCTTCTGGGCTGGAGTAATCTTTTACCTCTCTTGGGCCGGAATAATCTTACAGCCTTTTTACCCAGCCCTTCGTGCTTTGGGTCATAATGTCCATCTCATAGCTCGGCCCAATTTTCACCAAAATTACCCTCTCAATTGCCCCTTAATTCCATCTGCAAAGCATGATTGGGATTACCTGCCTATCAACCGAGCTGAAGTTTTCAAGCCTTTCCAGCCGAGCTAAAAAAACCCTTTAGCCTCTCCAGGCTGGCTAAAAGCCATTTAGCCTTCCAGCCGAGCTTATTTCACTTCGGGCTCTACTTGTCCGGTCAAAAACGTCTCTTCAATCACAGCAACTGTGACGCTTCCCATTCTAATGACACGTGGCACGCTTTGATTGACTGAGGACGGCTGTCACGCCCTCTTCGTACTTCGTGAAATTTGAACAGTCCCGCCTAAACTTTCTCCTTTCGTCCTTTTCACAAAACAACCTTCTCATCTTTGGCTCTACCACAGTTTTTCTTATTTCCCTCATTCTTTCTTTCAAGCTCCATTGCTCTCAAACTTTTGGAACTGTGAAGCTTTGTTTCGTGTGCATCTTTTACTGCCGTTGCTTCCATCTCCAGGTCTTTTTCTTCAATTTGGTAAGCAAATCCATTTTTCTTGCTCTGTTTTGTTCTTGTATCTGTATATTTTGTTTTGTGTGCTTTTTGCAAACACTTTTCCTGTCTTGCTTTGCTCTGTACTTCTATAGAAAAAACTTAACAGTAGAACATATGAGTATATGCAATATCCTGTAGACAACTAGCTTTTGGTCCAGAATCATGATGCAACCGAACTAAGATACTGTTTAAGCTAGGTAAAACTATAGTTAGCTTTCAACCGAACTAACACTTCATATTTATGTCAGTAGCCTTGAATAAGTCAAACCACTTCTTGGTAGCCCTTAACCGAGGTAACCAACCGAACTAGGTTTGCACTTAGTATACTGAGATACCTAAACTCCAACCGATTTAGGCCTTTGGGGCTAAACCAGCTTTCTTAGTTTTTTAGACCGAACTCAGAAAGCTGCCCCTAGACGATGAACCGGTCTAACAAAAATAGTTTCCATAAACAGTATGCCGAGACGCTTGCCAAGGTCTGGCTAAAAAAAACCCTGCTCAAACCGAGCTACAATCACCTTGCAGAAACCAAGATAGAACCTGTAGTAGCCACAAAGCCGAAGTAGGGCTCCTATTTTTTACTTTTATTTTGTAGCACGGTCCAATGATCTGTGTTTAACCCCTCTTTTTTCTACCTTGCAGACTTAGGTTGCCCAAGCACTCCTCTGCGCGCTCAACCGAGCTACTGAGCACAATTTTTGCACCGATCTAATTTATTCGTAAATTATACAAAAAATGGGTAAGTATAGGTATCTAGTAAATACTCCGGGCGGCCTAGCCGAATTCAGAAAAGACTACAATATACCCGATGACGTCCACCTGGATTTAGCCAAAAAAGACGTCATTCCTTGGGGCAATGAAGGCTTTGTTTCTTTCACCCTTTTGTCTATAATCGAGACCGGACTACGATTTTCAGTCCAACCCTTGATTTGTGAGTTTCTCAGGCAAACCAGACTATGCCCAACCCAACTATCCACCAATTCCTACCGCATCATAATGGGAATAGCTGAACTGAACCGCCAAGCCGGACTCAACTTTGGCCTGGCCGAAATTTTCCACCAATACTCCATTGGTTCAAAAGAAGATGGGTGGGTCTATTATTTAAGAATACGCTGTCGCCGAGAGAAGATAATAAAACATACACCGGATAAAGACCTAAACGACGACGACTTTTTCTGGGTGTCTGAGAACTTTGAGGATCACCAAGCCCAAATTCCTGGCAGACATATAAACTGGAAAAAAGGAGAACCCGGTATATTTACTTTGGTTTTCTTGTTTGCCTTACTATATTTCAGTTTTTCAATCTTTCAGCCGAACTAACAGTTGTCTTCTTTCACAGATTCTGCCCACCTCCATTCTTTATATAACTATCCAAATCTAGCGACTTTGCGCGCCGCACTACGGTATCCAGAACGTAGTTGGGCGAAACTGCTTAAGTTCGAGCCGACCTACAGATACAGTGGTCGCCGAAAAGCCAGAGTGACTGATTTTCTTCTTGAGGAGGCCCCAGAACCGGACCCAACCTTGCCAGAAATCAGACTAATCCCACTAACAGCTGAAGAGGAGATGGCTAAAAAGAACAGAGTAAGGGCGCTTCTAACGGAAACAAACAGGCCCGAAGTACTGCCACCAAGCCAAACGCAGCCTGCCGTTGTGGCCCTCCCTTCTCAACAGCCTTCTTCATCACGCCCCTCTAAGCGCGCCCGATCTACCCCGACCGAACAACAACTTGTGGATGAGGACGAATCCATCCCTCCACCAAGTCCTCAACCCATCCTTCAACCGGAGCAGCCTGACCGAGCTGACTCCTCAAAATGGGCTCCAGTTCTCTCCTTTCAGAACCGAAATATCGAGGCAAGTGACTCGGTTGTTGCTGAGAAGGACCACTTAATGGCTTTCAACCTAGCCAAGAGTGTTTGTCTTCCAAAAGATATGGA